CTTAGAAGGTTTTGACTGGCCTTCTCCCTTCTCCCCATCTCCAGGAATTTTTTTGTGTCCTTTTCTAATGTGTACCTATATATCCTGAATCATATGAAGTAGCATAAATAAGAACTGTTTAGGAGGAAAATCAACTATGACGGCCATAGGAGCGCCAGCGGGCGCTTCAACAATGACAGCCATTGGAGGAGCACCAGCGGCATCAACTATGACAGCCGTAGGAGGAGTACCAGCGGCATCGACTATGACTGCTATTGGAGCACCAGCAGGTTGTTCCTCTAAGGAAATTTTATGCAAAATAGAAGTGAAACGTTTTTAACAAAAACAAGCTCTTTACGCTTGATGCTTTCAGTAATTTCAGTCAATTATACTTCTAATAAAAGAATTTTATTGAATTAGAGTATCTTGATGAGTGCTGAACCGCATAATCTAATAGCAGTCAAACTTTTTGGATTAAGATCAACGATAACAACTATAGGAGCACCAGCGGGCGCCTCGACAATGACAGCTATTGGAGGAGCACCAGCAGCATCAACTATGACAGCCGTAGGAGGAGTACCAGCGGCATCGACTATGACTGCCATTGGAGCGCCAGCAGGTTCTGTTTCATTGCAAGCCTATTTCAAACATCAAGAGCAACAACTTGAAAATAATTCTTCTCATTAACTTTACGAAAATCTTTATGACAGTATTTTGCAGAAGTTTTAGCAGTTTACTTTTAGCAGTAACAAACTTTTTCAGCAGGAGCATCCACGATGACAGCTGTAGGCGCACCAGCAGGAGCTTCTACTATGACAGCCGTTGGTGCACCAGCCGGTGCATCAACAATGACGGCTATCGGAGCACCAGCAGGTCGGAGCTCTTTTTGTTCATAAACTCGTAGGCAAAATTTGTTAGTGCTATCCATCTCTCTCTTACTTCCTTGGAAAGTTTGAGGAAATATTTCTGGGCGACACGAGAGATAAAAGTGATTCAGCCTATTTAGGTGGAAAATCTACTATGACAGCCATAGGTGCACCAGCGGGAGCTTCAACGATGACTGCTATTGGGGCACCAGCAGGTTGGAGCA